TTTACGAGAGTTTAGCGACGAAATGATTCACTTAATTGTTAAGTAATGGGTACCATTAGACCATAAATTTTATCTAGCATCTCACCGTAGATGCAGTAAAAAGTGCTTTACTTTTCAATGTATATAAAGACTTGCTCAGCTCAATCAGTTCACTCTGTATTGGCTCAAGCCGTATCATGCGAACGCAATACAAACTAGAGCACCGACAGCGCAGCGCTCCCCAACTCACTGCTCGCCCAGTCCACCCGGGCCGCCGCCACGACGGCCCCCCGCAAGTAGGCATCCCGCACTGCACCGACAGCCGCGGGCGACCAGCTGACCGGCCAGCTGACCGGCCAGCAGCCGGCGGGCGGCAAGCCGCGGATGGCCGACCCGCCGGCGCGGCGAGGGAGGGGAGGGACGCAGCTGAAAGACCCGACTACATATATATCAAAGAAACATTATATGTAATCATCGATGACGCGACATAAATCTGCTTTATTGGGTTTAGCGGTGTAGTCTGTGATGCCATCACAATGAAAATAGCCTAGTTTTGTAGAGCATCAAATTCTGATTCCATAACGACTCTCGCTAGTCCATTTTCAATTGTAAATAAGCCTTTTATTGCGATGCAAAGTCCCGAAATGGTGCCGACGGCGGCCGGTCCCCCGATGGTACCATACCATAGATGGTAAACAGGTTAGTTCACATTCCCGCCGCTATGCGGGCGGCGGCGGCGCCACCTGTCCTCGTGTCCGCCTGACACCGTAACGATATAGGTCTGAGCTCAAATCTCGGTAATGTCGTGCTTTTTTACTATATTTCTCAAAAACGGCACCACGTGCAATAAAGTTGTATATATCATTGGAAAGAGCATCAAAAGTTGTATAACCTATCAACTTTTCACTTAAATATATCTCAACTGTAAAAAGTTATTAAGCAGCAAAGACGCTCCCATTCACTTTCCATGTTAAAATTTTTCATTTTTAAACGAGCCTAAAAAGAACAAACGAATTTGCACAGCTTAAAGAAGCATAACAACATGTTCTATGGTCTTTTCTCAACAAGTCCTGAAAGTTAAAGCAAAATCGTATCATATAATTTTGTACAATGAGCGAATGAAAATGTCTCTGCAAAAACGCCCATTGACTTAACATGGGGAGCGAAAAAAGTTCAACTTTGACCTCGTGCAAAGACACGTTACGAAGTTCTGAGGGGTATACGGCGCACACTGGCGTGTACCCAAACGTGTTTGCCATAAAATTCTTGGAAGAAAACCACCTCTTCCTTGGCTCGTTTTCCCGCCATTCGCGATCGCGCAAAAAGTGTCCAAAACCCCGTTGACTTAACATGGGGAAAATGAAATCGCACGTGCCACGTGCCACGAGGTTTTAAGCGAGTAGCGACCGGTGCCATCAGGTAGATCGCCCCCGGGAGCCCATACCCTGAAATTTTTACGAAGATTGTACATTTCGTCTAGGCCTGACCCAAGTTGCCCCAATTCGCGGCCAGACTTGCAAAACATAGCCCGGAGAACGACCGCTCCGGTTGTTTTTCAATAGAAAAACACAATTCTAACGAATAGTGTTTGTCTTTTCAAACAACCTGCGGTTACCAGCATCTGCGATGCTGGGCTCCGCATCGCGGGACCGCAGGTTGTTTGAGCAAGCACCTTTGTAAACGCAGCAAAAACGCCCGCCGCCAAACGAGAGGATGAGCCTTGCACGTGCAGACCGGAGTCGGTGTGTTACAAACTGACGTGCACGGCACCCTACTCGCTGATCTATAGCGGTGTGCCAAATTTGAGTGTAATCGGCTCGGCCATTTTCGAGATCTGGAAGCGTCACCCTGCACGTGCGCACGTGCAAGCTGTGTCCAATTGCATTGTGCATGGGACCCTATTCGCCGGTCCCTAGCGGTGTACCAAATTCGAGCTCAATCGGCCCAGCCGTTTTCAAGATCTTGAAACGACCCCTCCACGTGCGCACGTGCAGTTGCATCTCAACCGTGACACATGGAAATACATACTAACTGACTTGTGCACGGCACCCTACTGATCGATCTCTAGATGTTTGCCGAATTTGAGTGCAATCGGTCCAGCCGTTCTTGAAATCTGGAAGCGTCACCCTGCACGTGCGCACGTGCAAGATGGGTCCAAACTGACTTGCGCACGGCACCCTACTAATCGGTCTCTAGCGGTGTACCAAATTTGAACTCAATCGGCCCGGCCGTTCTCGAGATCTGGAAGCGTCACCCTGCACGTGCGCACGTGCAGTTGCACCCCAATCGTGGCACATGGAAATACATACTAAATGACTGCAACCTACTGATCGGTATCAAGCGTTATGCCAAATTTGAACACAATCGGTCCAGCCGTTCTCGAGATCTGGAAGCGTCACCCTGCACGTGCGCACGTGCAGTTGCACCCCTACCAAGACACATGGAAATGCATCGCCTGGAAAGTGTCTACCTCCATGCCAAGTTTTAGCGCAATCGGCCCAGTAATTACCGCGAGCTATTGCGCTTATTACAAAACAGGCACCTCTTGGCTTTGCACGTGGAACGTGCGTTAGGGGTCACCCATATGCATCGAGAGTAGCACACTATGTGAAAGAAGGGAAAAAGCTACCCCACACAAAAAAACCGCACGTGTATCAGCCCAGTGGTTGCCGAGATATAAGTCGTACAAAAACGTCCCCACGGCGGCCGGCCGCTATTTAGCAGTAAAATCGTGTCGCATCCTTCTATTAGAGGTATCCCCGTCACCTGTTCGTATACTGTCTGAGCAAAGGCCATACGTTACGGTCCAAACTCCATAGTGAGGCGGACATACGAATTTACGAGAGTTTAGCGACGAAATGATTCACTTAATTGTTAAGTAATGGGTACCATTAGGTAGACCATAAATTTTATCTAGCATCTCACCGTAGATGCAGTAAAAAGTGCTTTACTTTTCAATGTATGTAAAGACTTGCTCAGCTCAATCAGTTCACTCTGTATTGGCTCAAGCCGTATCATGCGAACGCAATACAAACTAGAGCACCGACAGCGCAGCGCTCCCCAACTCACTGCTCGCCCAGTCCACCCGGGCCGCCGCCACGACGGCCCCCCCCCCCCGCAAGTAGGCATCCCGCACTGCACCGACAGCCGCGGGCGACCAGCTGACCGGCCAGCTGACCGGCCAGCAGCCGGCGGGCGGCAAGCCACGGATGGCCGACCCGCCGGCGCGGCGAGGGAGGGGAGGGACGCAGCTGAAAGACCCGACTACATATATATCAAAGAATGATACATTATATGTAATCATCGATGACGCGACATAAATCTGCTTTATTGGGTTTAGCGGTGTAGTCTGTGATGCCATCACAATGAAAATAGCCTAGTTTTGTAGAGCATCAAATTCTGATTCCATAACGACTCTCGCTAGTCCATTTTCAATTGTAAATAAGCCTTTTATTGCGATGCAAAGTCCCGAAATGGTGCCGACGGCGGCCGGTCCCCCGATGGTACCATACCATAGATGGTAAACAGGTTAGTTCACATTCCCGCCGCTATGCGGGCGGCGGCGGCGCCACCTGTCCTCGTGTCCGCCTGACACCGTAACGATATAGGTCTGAGCTCAAATCTCGGTAATGTCGTGCTTTTTTACTATATTTCTCAAAAACGGCACCACGTGCAATAAAGTTGTATATATCATTGGAAAGAGCATCAAAAGTTGTATAACCTATCAACTTTTCACATAAATATATCTCAACTGTAAAAAGTTATTAAGCAGCAAAGACGCTCCCATTGACTTTCCATGTTAAAATTTTTCATTTTTAAACGAGCCTAAAAGAACAAACGAATTTGCACAGCTTAAAGAAGCATAACAACATGTTCTATGGTCTTTTCTCAACAAGTCCTGGAAGTTTAAACAAAATCGTATCATATAATTTTGTACAATGAGCGAATGAAAAAGTCTCTGCAAAAATGCCCATTGACTTAACATGGGGAGCGAAAAAAGTTCAACTTTGACCTCGTGCAAAGTCACGTTACGAAGTTCTGAGGGGTATACGGCGCACACTAGCGTGTACCCAAACGTGTTTGCCATAAAATGCTGGGAAGAAAACCACCTCTTCCTTGGCTCGTTTTCCCGCTATTCGCGATCGCGCAAAAAGTGTCCAAAACCCCGTTGACTTAACATGGGGAAAATGGAATCGCACGTGCCACGTGCCACGAGGTTTTAAGCGAGTAGCGACCGGTGCCAACAGGTAGATCGCCTGCGGGAGCCCATACACTGAAATTTTTAAGAAAATCGAGCCACAAGTTTAGGCCTGACCCAAGTTGCCCCAATTCGCGGCCAGACATGCAAAACATAGCCCGGAGAAGGACCGCTCCGGTTGTTTTTCAATAGAAAAACACAATTCTAACGAATAGTGTTTGTCTTTTCAAACAACCTGCGGTTATAGAAAAACACAATTCTAACGAATAGTGTTTGTCTTTTCAAACAACCTGCGGTTACGCATTTATAGCCGATACATTTGCTTTTTTTCTTAAATAAGATTGAAACATTGCGAGTACTGGCTTTTCGCCTAGCAGTTGGGCGTGAGGTGAGTGACGATAAAAATTATTTCGCTCTCCCTTGCTCCTGCACCTGCGGAAAGTGGATGGATGGGCATTGGATACTTACTGGAAGGGTGTAATAAGGGCAATACACCACTTCATGCTCCGATAATTGCATTACGTCTATGACGGTGTAAAGTAAAGAATAAAGATGTGTGAAGAAATAGACATCTGACAATTGGCTGACTTCCCTGCCTCCCGGCCGCTACTCAGGTCCACCACTCGCCGTTGTCAGTGCACGGTTTTTCTAGCAAGCTCCAGCCTAGTATTGATCTTATTCAGTATTTACGGTACGAAGATTTGATAACGGAATGTGACGTTTCCACATCATGCTTGATGGTTGAAGTTTGCACCGTTAACAACTACCAAGTCAAGTCGCAGCCCCAGTCATCTGGCACGTCTCTGTCATCGAATAAAGCCAATGAACAAGAAAGTTATTATTTTCCAGCATAAATGAAAATATATAACACTGCTACAGGCGGTACGCGGATGTCATGCACATTACACACAACGATTCAATCGAATAAAAACTGGATTAACCATAAATCAGCACTGGATTAACCATAAATAATAACAGTACAGCACCAAACACTTGAGATGCACATTATAGTACTTTAGAATGCACAGAGGAGTAATGAGACTAAAAGTTTTAACACGCCCTATCTTAAAAAAATATTGAACGAGATATTTCCACAGTGCAAAAACAAAACCGAAATCCGACAAAAAACCGATTCCAGGTTCAATGTCCACAGATTTAAAAACAAAACTTTCAAGTGCCCCCATGGTAAAAAAAAAATGACCAAAGACGGAATTGTAACAAAGAATAAATAAAGATATGTGCGGCAAACGAAGGGCGGCACTGGACGAGCGTCTGCACAAAGTAGGCGCACAGAGTTACTCCTTAGCCCAGCGGGCAGCAGCAAATGAATTACAACCAAAGGAAGAATATGCATTAGTCTATTAAGGCTCATCGCACCATGACGAGGCACAGCTAGGATAACGCGATTCGCCTGCGTCCTCCAGGCGAGAAGCACCTCGAGTAGGCTGCCGTGTCTTGACCAACTGCCGCATCCGTCGTCCGCGCCGCAGGCCTCCCAGTAGTGCCTCGGAGTAGTGCCTCCATCGCATCGGCCGTCGACCGGCGTGGGGCCCGGATGTGACTAGTGCAGCTCCGTGGGGTGCCCTGCCGCGCTCTGCCGAGTGTGCAGAGAGCAGGTAGACTGGTGGCGGTGAAGAAAACAAGCAGTTATCTTCTTTCGGGATCTGTAAAGAAGCATTCTACTAAAAACTACATCCAAAACGTTTTCCATATTTTTTTTTTACAGAACACAATGCAGTAGCCAAAATAGATATGAAGTATGTGAAGACAACAGTCTACTGCCATTAGATAACTGATCCTGATGGACAAATACATTAGATACTAGTAAATCATAAGGTGGTTCAAAGGCACACTTTGCAGCTCCAGTAAAAAATCACTGTTTTTCATACTTCATACTGTAAGGGGAAAGGGTGGGGTGGGGATGCAGCCAAGAGTGCATCATATGGGGTTGTAGTGGTCGGACCATCTGGAGCAATAGCCTGTTTTTGCCGTTTTTAATGTTAACCCTATGGCGCACATGAGCACGCGCCACGGGCGCACCCCCGGCCGAATCGTGCCCAAAAGCTAATACGACCTGTTGAATTACATGACCCACGAGTCGTGAAAATTTCACCCTCGTGCGTCAATCGACGGCGCCGCAATATCCGTTTTGGGGCATCACGCCGCCTATAAGCCTCGCAAAAGCGTCCGCACGGCCGGCCGGCCGGCCGGCCGGCCGCTCATACTCAGAAATTTCCGTTAATCTAAGGAAAGACTTCGCTCGCTTCGCTCGCTCCGTAACAAAAGTGACACCTCTCCGTTTTACACGTGTCACGTGCAGTGGAGGTCACCCGCAAGCATTGTCCATAGTAAATACTTGTAAGAAGAGTATACGCTACCCCACACAAAAAACCGCAAGTGTAACAGTGTCCGTCCCCCTCCCCGGCGCCGTTTTCCTCCAGGGGAGGCGCCCCAGCCGCCGTACTGGGGCGTAGCGGAGTCCGTGCTTTTAGCACAGCAAAATATCCACCCAGGCTAGATTAACGTCACGACAACCTAGGATTAAGAGTGGCTAGACTTCAGACTTCATGCAGACTTAACATTGAAGTATTATATATGCAACTAAATGACACACATGGTGTTTGTTCTAACCTTCTCAACAGAAAGTGAACGTGTCAGGACAGCACCCCTTGGTGACCATTATATTCAAGGGGTGCAGGAACTGATTCCCCAGGGGTGAAGCGATAGAAGCAAAAACATGAGTCACTAGTTCCCTCCTGTGTCTTCCCTCCTGCAGAAAAAAAAATACATGTGTGATGCCCAATGTGACTGATAACTGCATATTATAAAGCTGGAAATATTGTACAAAGTTGTGACAACACAAGCAAACTATGCATGTCACTGCTCTTGTATAACTTTTCTATTTTTATTGCTATATGAGACCTCACAAGACACAAAAATATGCATGGTTAGAAAGTGGGTAACAATACATTTCAAATGAACTAAGCAGATTATTTCTAAGCTCCTTTAAGTCCCAATTTCTGCTATATTTCGCTTGTTGTCACTTCATATTTTGAACTCAAGGTGCCTTGTGGATTTACCTCAGGTATGTAGGTAAATCCACAAGGATTTATGGGCTTTACCACAGTTGAGTAGCTGCTCCCTCAATTTAAGTTTCTCGTTAAATTTCATTGAGGCGTTGCAAGATGGGCTGAAGCCGAATCCTCTTCCCTGTTTAGCTGATGCTCATAATACCTGAACATTTTTAATTCCAATTTTTATAGCTGTTAACAATTGGTAAAGGCCCATGTACCTAGACAACAATGACTTTACAGAAGAAACCCCTGGCTGTGTTTCATGGGCGCGCTGCCAGCCGCTGCCAGCGCATTCCGCGTGAGCTAGCGTCAACCTCCGGTAGTGTTGGAGGTATAGGCTTGTTGATGTCTCTATGGAAGCCAAAAGCGGCTGGCAGAGTGCTGTGATATGCTGTGATACACCACCCTTATTTTTGCACAATAATGCTGTGATAACTGTTCCTGCAAAAAATATAAGGTGAAGTGAAGTAAAATCAGGTCAAACATTAATATATACCCGAAAATAGCAGTGTTTGGAGTACCTATATTCACATTACCAATAATATAAAATCAGGTCAAACATTAATATATACCAGAAAATAGCAGTGTTTGCCGTTTGGAGTACCTATATTCACATTACCAATAATATGATACACAACAGGCCATAGAAAACCAGTGAATCAGAATGTTGAATTGTACCCCAATTTCAATATCAATATGGCACTTGGCAATAACAGTTAAACACACCGTTTTTGATGTTAAATCAACAGAGAAAACTCCTGAACATAAAAATGATCAGAATGTATAATAAGGATAACAGTATAAATAAAAATCGACGACATCAGCACCTATCATCGCCGTTCCACATTCACCACTCCCCATTCCACGCACAGATTGTTTACTCCTTGGTTTACCCCGTGTTCGCAGTCTCCCTGACGACGGAGATTCTTTACGCCCACCGACCAATCACGTTCAAGATCAGCGGGGCTTGGCCGCAGTTCTCGAACGCTATTTGCCAGATTAAGCAGGACCTTCGTCGTCAGTAAACTGTGAACACGGCGTTACATATTTCGCTATGGTAACAAAAGCGCCAGAATTGACTACCAGAATTGGATCCGAAGGTCAAATGGGTCACGTGACTGACAAGTTCAGATGGACAACACCAGGAAAACGGAACAACGTGCAATAACGTTCTATATATCATTGGAAAGAGCATCAAAAGTTGTATAAAATATCAACTTTTGACTTAAACATATCTTAAACGTAAAAAGTTATTAAGCATCAAAGACGCTCCCATTGACTTTCAAAGTTAAAATTTTTCATTTTTAAACGAGCTTCAAAAGAGCAAACGAATTCTGACAGCTTAACGAAGCATAACACCATGTTCTATGGTCTTTTCTCAACAAGTCCTGAAAGTTTAAACAAAATCGTATCATATAATTTTGTACAATGAGCGAATGAAAAAGTCTCTGCAAAAACGCCCATTGACTTAACATGGGGAGCGAAAAAAATTCAACTTTGACCTCGTGCAAAGACACGTTACGAAGTTCTGAGGGGTATACGGCGCACACCAGCGTGTACCCAAACGTGTTTGCCATAAAATGCTGGGAAGAAAACCACCTCTTCCTTGGCTCGTTTTTCCGCTATTCCCGATCGCGCAAAAAGTGTCCAAAACCCCGTTGACTTAACATGGGGAAAATGGAATCGCACGTGCCACGTGCCACGAGGTTTTAAGCGAGTAGCGACCGGTGCCAACAGGTAGATCGCCTGCGGGAGCCCATACACTGAAATTTTTAAGAAAATCGAGCCACAAGTTTAGGCCTGACCCAAGTTGCCCCAATTCGCGGCCAGACATGCAAAACATAGCCCGGAGAAGGACCGCTCCGGTTGTTTTTCAATAGAAAAACACAATTCTAACGAATAGTGTTTGTCTTTTCAAACAACCTGCGGTTACGTTCTTGAGATCTGGAAGCGTCAGCCTGCACGTGCGCACGTGCATAGCGGGTCCCATCTGACTTGTGCACGGCACCCTACTTACCAGCCTCTAGCGGTGTGCCAAGTTTGATCACAATCGGCCCAGCCGTTCTCGACATCTGGAAGCGTCACCCTGCCCGTGCGCACGTGCAGTTGCACCCCTACCAAGACACGTGGAAATGCATCGCCTGGAATGTGTCTACCTCCATGCCAAGTTTTAGCGCAATCGGCCCAGTAATTACCGCGAGCTATTGCACTTATTACAAAACAGGCACCTCTTGGCTTTGCACGTGGAACGTGCGTTAGGGGTCACCCATATGCATCGAGAGTAGCACACTATGTGAAAGAAGGAAAAAAGCTACCCAACACAAAAAACCGCACGTGTATCAGCCCAGTGGTTGCCGAGATATAAGTCGTACAAAAACGTCCCCACGGCGGCCGGCCGCTATTTAGCAGTAAAATCGTGTCGCATCCTTCTATGGGAGGTATCCCCGTCACCTGTTCGTATACTGTCTGAGCAAAGACCATACGTTACGGTCCAAACTCCATAGTGAGGCGGACATACGAATTTACGAGAGTTTAGCGACGAAATGATTCACTTAATTGTTAAGTAATGGGTACCATTAGGTAGACCATAAATTTTATCTAGCATCTCACCGTAGATGCAGTAAAAAGTGCTTTACTTTTCAATGTATATAAAGACTTGCTCAGCTCAATCAGTTCACTCTGTATTGGCTCAAGCCGTATCATGCGAACGCAATGCAAACTAGAGCACCGACAGCGCAGCGCTCCCCAACTCACTGCTCGCCCAGTCCACCCGGGCCGCCGCCACGACGGCCCCCCGCAAGTAGGCATCCCGCACTGCACCGACAGCCGCGGGCGACCAGCTGACCGGCCAGCTGACCGGCCAGCAGCCGGCGGGCGGCAGGGCGCGGATGGCCGACCCGCCGGCGCGGCGAGGGAGGGGAGGAACGCAGCTGAAAGACCCGACTACATATATATCAAAGAAACATTATATGTAATCATCGATGACGCGACATAAATCTGCTTTATTGGGGTTAGCGGTGTAGTCTGTGATGCCATCACAATGAAAATAGGCGCCTAGTTTTGTACAGCATCAAATTCTGATTCCATAACGACTCTCGCTAGTCCATTTTCAATTGTAAATAAGCCTTTTATTGCGATGCAAAGTCCCGAAATGGTGCCGACGGCGGCCGGTCCCCCGATGGTACCATACCATAGATGGTAAACAGGTTAGTTCACATTCCCGCCGCTATGCGGGCGGCGGCGGCGCCACCTGTCCTCGTGTCCGCCTGACACCGTAACGATATAGGTCTGAGCTCAAATCTCGGTAATGTCGTGCTTTTTTACTATATTTCTCAAAAACGGCACCACGTGCAATAAAGTTGTATATATCATTGGAAAGAGCATCAAAAGTTGTATAAAATATCAACTTTTCACTTGAATATGTCTTCAAGGTACAAAGTTATTAAGCACCAAAGACGCTCCCATTGACTTTCCATGTTAAAATTTTTCATTTTTAAAGAAGCCTAAAGACAACAAACGAATTTGCACAGCTTAAAGAAGCATAACAACATGTTCTATGGTCTTTTCTCAACAAGTCCTGAAAGTTTAAACAAAATCGTATCATATAATTTTGTACAATGAGCGAATGAAAAAGTCTCTGCAAAAACGCCCATTGACTTAACATGGGGAGCGAAAAAAGTTCAACTTTGACCTCGTGCAAAGACACGTTACGAAGTTCTGAGGGGTATACGGAGCACACTAGCGTGTACCTGAACGTGTTTGCCATAAAATGCTGGGAAGAAAACCACCTCCTTCTTGGCTCGTTTTCCCGCTATTCGCGATCGCGCAAAAAGTGTCCCAAACCCCCATTGACTTACTATGGGAAAAATGGAATCGCACGTGCCACGTGCCACGAGGTTTTAAGCGAGTAGCGACCGGTGCCATCAGGTAGATCGCCTCCGGGAGCCCATACACTGAAATTTTTAAGAAAATCGAGCCACAAGTTTAGGCCTGACCCAAGTTGCCCCAATTCGCGGCCAGACTTGCAAAACATAGCCCGGAGAAGGACCGCTCCGGTTGTTTTTCAATAGAAAAACACAATTCTAACGAATAGTGTTTGTCTTTTCAAACAACCTGCGGTTAATCGCGGGACCGCAGGTTGTTTGAGCAAGCACCTTTGTAAACGCAGCAAAAACGCCCGCCGCCAAACGAGAGGATGAGCCTTGCACGTGCAGACCGGAGTCGGTGTGCTACGGACTGACGTGCACGGCACCCTATTCGCCGGTCTATAGCGGTGTGCCAAATTTGAGTGCAATCGACCCGGCCGTTTTCGAGATCTGGAAGCGACACCCTGCACGTGCGCACGTGCAGCCTGGGCCCCAATTGACTTGTGCACGGCACTCTATTCGCCGGTTTCTAGCGATGTACCAAATTTAATCTGAATCGGCCCAGCCGTTTCCAAGATCTGGAAGCGACCCCTACAGGTGCGCACGTGCAGCTGCACCCCAACCGCGGCACATGAAAATAGGTACTTACTGACTTGTGCACGGCACCCTACTAACCAGTCTCTAGTGGTATGCCAAATTTGAGCACAGTCGGTCCAGCCGTTCTTGAAATATGGAAGCGTCAGCCTGCACGTGCGCACGTGCAAACTGGGTCCCATCTGACTTGTGCACGGCACCCTACTCGCCGAGCCCTAACGGTGTGCCAACTTTGATCACAATCGGCCCAGCCGTTCTCGAGATCTGGAATCGTCACCCTGCCCGTGCGCACGTGCAGCGGGACCCCAACCGTGACACATGGAAATGCATCGCCTGGAAAGTGTCTACCTCCATGCCAAGTTTTAGCGCAATCGGCCCAGTAATTACCGAGCTATTGCGCTTATTACAAAACAGGCACCTCTTGGCTTTGCACGTGGAACGTGCGTTAGGGGTCACCCATATGCATCGAGAGTAGCACACTATATGAAAGAAGGGAAAAAGCTACCCCACACAAAAAACCGTAAGTGTATCAGCCCAGTGGTTGCCGAGATATAAGTCGTACAAAAACGTCCCCAGACTCCCCACGGCGGCCGGCCGCTATTTAGCAGTAAAATCGTGTCGCATCCTTCTATGGGAGGTATCCCCGTCACCTGTTCGTATACTGTCTGAGCAAAGGCCATACGTTACGGTCCAAACTCCATAGTGAGGCGGACATACGAATTTACGAGAGTTTAGCGACGAAATGATTCACTTAATTGTTAAGTAATGGGTACCATTAGGTAGGCCATAAATTTTCTCTAGCATCTCACCGTAAATGCAGTAAAAAGTGCTTTACTTTTCAATGTATATAAAGACTTGCTCAGCTCAATCAGTTCACTCTGTATTGGCTCAAGCCGTATCATGCGAGCGCAATACAAACTAGAGCACCAGACAGCGCAGCGCTCCCCAACTCACTGCTCGCCCAGTCCACCCGGGCCGCCGCCACGACGGCCCCCCGCAAGTAGGCATCCCGCACTGCACCGACAGCCGCGGGCGACCAGCTGACCGGCCAGCTGACCGGCCAGCAGCCGGCGGGCGGCAAGCCGCGGATGGCCGACCCGCCGGCGCGGCGAGGGAGGAGAGGGAGGCAGCTGAAAGACCCGACTACAAACATATATACCAAAGAAACAATACATGTAATCATCGATGACGCGACATAAATCTGCTTTATTGGGGTTAGCGGTGTAGTCTGTGATGCCATCACAATGAAAATAGCCTAGTTTTGTAGAGCATCAAATTCTGATTCCATAACGACTCTCGCTAGTCCATTTTCAATTGTAAATAAGCCTTTTATTGCGATGCAAAGTCAAAACTAAGCCCGAAATGGTGCCGACGGCGGCCGGTCCCCCGATGGTCCCCCATACCATAGATGGTTAACAGGTTAGTT